CACTATTTAGCAGGAGCATCTCAGGCTGAGGGATTGCCTGTGGTTCATCTCCCAAACTGAAGGAGTTGAGAAAAGAGAATTTGGGCCCAAGTGTCCTAGCCCTGGCTTCATGGACTCAGGAGCCCAGGCTCCCAGACCAGGGCAGGCCAGGACTGCCTCCTCCTCTCCCCCACCCAGTGCCTGCCTGGCGTCAGCATTATGATGTCACCAGACCAAAGGAGACACACCGCCTGCCTGGTGAGGTCACCTTACGGGCATGTAGTGGCCAGGCTAGGCCAAGCCCACGGACCCTTCTGCTGCAAATTGTTTGCTGAGGCTGGTGGACTCTAGTTTGCTGGGTACTCCTCCCCCTGACTCCCCACCCCTACTCTCAAGGAGCACCAGGACGCTGGTCAGGAGCCTTGGTGACTCAGAAGCTGCCACACAGCAGCAGGCCCAGCCACAGCCACCACCTTGCGCAAGTAAGAGAACAGGCCCAACTGGCCAGACGGGATCCCTGCCCTCAGCCTCCCCCACCCCTGGCCAGGCCCCCTCAGGCCTCCTTGGGGCCCTACCCTTTGTGTACCCCGCCCGATCCCAGACAGGTCTTCCATTCCTGGCTTGGGCTAGCTGGCTACACCCCACTCTATGCTATGCCTGGGTCCCAACTTTCCTTTTTGTGTAAGGCCTGGCCTCTGGTATCAATAGAGGAAACTGAGGCTGGCATGGCAACATCTTTGGAGGAAGAGATTTTTTTTTTTTCTTAGGGACCTTTATGCATCAGCATCTTCTGCTGGTATATACAGTGATACACACACTTGTGGAGGTCCTAGAAGTAGGTCTGTGAAGAAGAGGAAAGGAGTTAGTGAGTCTAGTTCACATGCATGTGAGGCTATTTCCTTGCATGAACTTGGGGATGGTTCACATATGTATCTGTTCACACATCTTATCTTCAAGGAAATATATGTACTAACTTTTCTATACCAAGAGGGAAGAGTTATGTATTGGTATGTGAACATACATGTATACAACATATATGTCTCACACTCTCTGAATGCATGGCACACATTCCCGTTCTACAGAACTCTGCACACATAGTAAATATTTTGATGTCGTTTATCTTGGCTTCCGCATGTCTGGCTCAGCTGCCCTTGGTCAGTAGTATGTGGCTCTTGGTATCTGCCTGTTCAGGTTGTCTGGAGTATTGCCCCTGGCATATCTCCCCACCTCACCTCAAGATTTGAGGGCAGATTCATCTCAGGCTCAAGGTGGAGGTAACCAGGGATGAGGTCACTGTCCCTTCAGGTGATGGGAAATCGCCACCAATCCTTCCAAACAGAACAAAAGCTCTCTTTCTCCCTTGCCCCTCAGGTTCCTACAGAGGAACTCCCACCCTTCTCATCCACTATGGTTACACCCCTAGGCCCCCCAGCACTCTGGCCCCCCAAGCAGGCCTCTCCCTGGGAATCTCTGTCAGGGCTTTGCTGCTTGCCACCACCAGAAAAACCAGCTCTGGCTCTAGGCCTGGGGAAAGAGCTGTCTAGTGTGGGTTTGGTGGGAAGAGGGGGATGTGCCTGGGGCTAGGGGGAGGGGTCCAAGCTGTCTAGGGTCTCATTCTCCATTGTTAACTCTTGCTTCCCCTCACTCACAGTACCAGCTCCACCAGAGAAAGCTAGAGAGTGTGGGTTAGTTTGAGGTAAGAAAAGGCCTGAGAGAAAGGCATCTAACTCCATACACACCCTCACTCCAAGACAGGTGACATAAACAAAGCAAAACCCTTTTGGTCTTTTCCCCACTAATAACCTCGGCCTTGGAATTAAGGAACTTTGGAAACCATAAGACTTTCCCTCTGCCTTAACCCACCTCCCTCACTTATCCCAGCTGTTCTAAGCCCCCTAGCTTAGTGAGAGCTTCCCAACCCGGGCAAAGTGCCCACCCACAGATTAGTGTCTGGGGGGGTGGCACATAAGTCATAGGAGAGAAGAATAATGGGGGAGGACAGTTCATAAGGCAGTCAGCTTTGGCCCAGACACAGCTCTCAGCACAGATAAGTCCCCTAAACCCCCCCGGAGCCAGAGTCTGAGCCCTGCTGAGTCACCACAACAGCCACACTGTGGGTGGGAGACCCAGAATTCGACTTCTCTCAAACTCCTGAGATCTAGCCTCCCCACCAATTCTGCCCACCCCTTCTCCCACTGTGGCTGGTTCTGCCTCACCCCACATCACAGCCTCAACCCTAGCTCTCAGAAGACAGTTTTGGAGAGAAGTGTTGGGGGGGGGGGTATGAGAACAGTTCCTGAGGCTAGAGGCTCTATGTTGGCTCCTGTTTCAATGAAGGAGCACCATCCCACTGCCTCCCCATTCTGAACTTAATTGATTTCTATTCCCAGATCCAGACCCCAAAGCTCCTCTACTCTCTTTACCTGACTCAGTTTCCCATTTTATCTCCATCCCTTCTCTGCCTAGTATTTGTGGTCAGTGTAAGTTTTGGAGGTCAGAAAATCCAAGCATTCTCTCCTTACAGGGCTGTTCCCCAGAGTGGCTAGCACCCGTTCCCTTTGCCTGAGGACCCCTGGGTTCTGAGGATGTGGTCCACAAGATGGGACTGTGCATGTTCTGCGCCTCACTACCATCTTTGTAGCTGCGGTCCCTACCCTAGGCCCTCTATCTTGAAATACTAGGATGGAATCAGGGTCACTGGGGCCAAGGGCTTCCCTGGAATTCTCCTAGTTTTCCACACTTGGGCGGGGAAGCAAGCCTCCCTTTCTGGCTTCTCTGGATTTGGGTAGGTCCTACAGAAAAGGGCCTGCCCCCTGTCATCAACAGTAGAAAATCAGGGATGGGGCCCCTCCCTTTTTAGGAAATGAATCTCAACAGAAAGCTGATCTTAACTCTCAGAAGACAGAACTCAGACTTCAGAGAACCACTCACTCCTTGGTCCTGCTAAGATCTAGAGACTTGGATCCTATTGGAAAGAAGTTCACAGACTTGGGCCCCTCAGCTTCAGGGCAAGAGATGGGGGAGGGAGGAGGGGTGGGACCTCACCCGGAAACTCATCCCATTAAGGAGAGACAAAGAGCTGTGGTCTTTGAGGCGCCTCCCAAGCCAGGGCTCCTCTCTCTGTCAGGGGTGGGGCAGAGCCCTAGTGCTCAAAGCTCTAATAGCCCAAGAGGGGGGCCAGTAAGGGTCCTCTAAGCCATAAGGAGACTGATCAATTCTTCTAACTCCACAAGCACCACACTTCAGCTAAGAGCTGGACATTCATAAGAGCCTAGTATTTCAGAGCTGGAAGGTCTGCAGAGACCATCTAGTCCTCCTTCTTGGTCTACTGAAGTAGCCTTTTTAGCTGCTCAAAGCCACCTAGCAATTAATAGCAGAATTGGGACCAGAACTCAAGGCTTCTGACTTCCAAGTCCAAGGACTGCTCAGAAATATGAAAATACTCCAGGCTCCTGCGGCCACTAAGAAGATGCCCACACACAGAGGAGCCAGAATCAGAGTGGTGGTTATCAGTGGGACCATCTGATCCTTGGGCTAGGACCCTGTGACCCAAGCCCCCAGAGATCCCTGAGCGCAGCCTTCTACTCTGTGCAGGCTACGGCAGCAGAAGTACAGTGGTGTCTCACTAGGTACTAGCTTCCTGGGCAATCCTGGATCCAGCCTTTCTCCCTGGCACAGCTTCCCTCAGACACTGGATAAAGTCAGGGATAATTTTCTAACCAATTCTTTCCCCTCTACGGGGCTACTCTTAGGACAGTTTTGCACTATGGAGAAGGAAGGTAGAGATAGTGTCACAGTCACAATTGCATCACTAGCACCTAGTTCCCTGGCTGAACCCAGCATAGTTTTTTTTTTAATGAACAAGAAATCAGGTAACCAAGACACTAACCCTGGTTATGCATCTTACACTGAGTAATCGTGCAGATTTCACCTGCCTATCTGTTTCTCTTAGTTTTCCCATCTAGGAGTTAGAGTGGTGATCTCTTTGATCCATCTCATCCAAATCTTGAGACAGCATAGTGTGACTCCATTCTTCAGGTGTGGGTAGATCCTACAGGAAAGTGTCTGCTGGTTCCCTGGCCCAGTGGGAGGCCCCACCCTCCTAATCAAGTGAGAAGGACTGTCTGGAAGAGGGGAATGACAGCCAGGGGTTGAGAGTAGGGGGAAGTGGCAGAGAGATTAGAGCTCAGTATCCTGAGATTGGAGATTGGGCCAAAGACCCTTCTGTTAGAAGACCAGAGTGAGATCAGCCTCTGGTCCTCCCAGTTCAGGGAACCAGGCCCTGTTCTCTTGAGCTTCAGCTAAGAATGAGGGTGGGGAGTCACAGCCAGATGATTCTGGACAACTGACACTCCTTGGCTACTGCTCCTGGGGCTGAGAATCCACTATCTTCTGCAGACAAGGCACTGTCTTTTTAAGGAAAAAGATTTCTCAGTTACTTGCTGACCAGGAAACAGCCTATAGCAGCCTACTGTGGTCTTATTGCATACACACTCTCTTCCCCTCTCTGAAAATGATAGATTTCTATAATTTATTTATGTTCCATATACATTAGATAGGAAGTGAGGAGTAGCATAAGGCATCCAACAGGGAAAATGAGGAGACAGGAAATGAACCCAAAGTGGACCATATCCCATCTGGAAGGCCCTCTGCTTTAGATACCCACCACTCATCATGCAAGAAATCTGCATCACTATCCTACACTTAGTGGTGTTTGTGCCCAGAGAAAGAGAAGGACCAGAGTAAAAGGTATTCTTGGCTTTTCTGTACTTCCCCAACAGACACCCCAGTTCTGGAGCACAGAATATCATGAGACGAGACAGAAACGCCTGTCTAGTCCCTGGACATCAGGCTCGCTGCACCTGATGACTGTTGAGGGCAACTCAGCCCTGAGTCAGCCTCTGCTCTCAGGAGCAGTTCTAGAGCCCAGTGGGTAGGCCAGGGAGCCTCTGGAAGCCCTGGGGTGAGCAGGGTCCTCAGGTTCCACATCTCTGCCCACTTGTACCAGATCAACATATATATATTCATTCCCCCAGAGACAGCTCAGGCCTAGGCAAGGTTTTGACAGCGATAGTTATGGACCCCAGACATTAGTGACCTGGCCTGGGGTCTGAAAGGGGACCTGAGAAGGAAGAGCTACCTTGGCTTTTCGGGGGGGGGGGGCGGCACTGCTGGCAAGTGGGTGTAGGAGAAAGAGTTTGGCTCCTCCACGCAGAATCCAAGGGAAAAAAGTGTGTGTTTGCATGCATGTGTGTGTATGCGCGTGTGTTTATGTGTCTGAGTGTGTGTCTATGCCAGGTGGGGCACAGAAGCAAGGGTCCTGATGGTTCAGGCAAGTCCTACCTGTAAACGATGCCAGGAACAACAGCAGCAGCCAGGCTTCAGGGCCCCACATCTCGGCTCCCAGGGACAGAGGCATTGGTTGAAAGGCAGATCGACCCAGTGATTCTGAGGTTCCACCAAGTTCTCCCTGGGAGCCGGTTCTGGAGCTGGGTAAGGCTCTGACCCAGAGGCAGGAAGTAATGGTGTCCCCAGGCACTGACGTTCTTGCCTATTCCACTTGGGTCTCCACTAGGGGACCCAGCCCCTCGTTCTACCCACCCTGCCGTGGCTACCCCCAAGAAGCCGTGATCGGGAGCGCTGAGCTCCCCCAGAGCTGCTTCCCAGCCGCAGCCAACAACGAAGGCAGAAACCTGGGAACCTGCTAAGCAGGTCAGAACAGGTGCGTCTCCGGGGGCCGGGCCTGGCACAGAGAGGAGACTCAGGCAGCCACCGCCCCCACGGCCTGGGCTAGCTAATGGGCGCCAGGGAGTAAGGGAAGGAGGTACAGATCTGGGTGCAGGCAGTGGGATCCCATCCTCATCTCAGGGTTTTACCTGTGAATGTTTGGAAGGTGCTGTGACATAAACACAGAGACAGACCTGGAAAAAGGAAAAATAGAGGTTAAAATCTTGCAACAATGTCCTCATGCACAGAAAGAATGAAGCAGCAATAAGGGGAGAAGTCATTAATGTAGAGTATTTTCTGACACTACTACATCAACTTTACCTGTGGGATGGTATTTTGTTTTGTTTTTGTTTTAGGTGGAGAGAGGATGCCTTTTGCATGCAAACTCTCTATCACTGAGCCACTTCCCTAGACCTCTTACCTGTCAATCTTACTCATCTCTCAAAACTGACCTCAAATGCCACATTTCCCATGAAGCTTCTCAGCTCCTCCCACTTAAAATTAATCTTTCTCTCTTCTATTCTTCCTCGCCTTTGCTAGCTTCTTTATTATAGCTTACGTACTCATAATTTGTGTACATCTTATCTCCTTAACTAAATTGTAAGCTTTAATTCAAGATACATTGATTGAGGCCTGTTGTATGCCAGAGATTCGGTAAATGTATTAAACTGAGGAACAGGATGAAAACTGTCCTGTGTAAAGTCTTTGAAAATTAAGCTTACCTGAGAATCTTGTTTCAGTTATCCATGTTAGAACAGTTCACAGCACCTAATGGGGATGAAATGCATTTTTGCAGAAGCATGTATTTCTGAATAAATGTAGTATGGAGAAAGGTGGTGAGGTAGGGTCAGTAGGCAGAGATCCCAAATGACTATGAATGACCATCCTGAACCTGGGTTGTAATCTGGACTCTAACTTTCCCTAGACTAGGACACTATCTCTGAATCCCACCTCTCTGTAGTGACTATGATAGTGACCTCTTCCTCAAGGACTATTCCCTACAGGTCAGAGGCAGGCTCAAGGGCCAGGCTGAGTGCCAAACTCCTAGTTTCTCTCCACCTCCACCTTGGCAAACCCCTTCCCCTCTTCAGGACTCAGGTCCCCACCTGTGCCAGGGGAACAGCCCCACCCCAATGCTGCTTTGAGATCCAGTGTGGCAGGGGTGGGGTAGGGCCAACAGGAATGGGAGGGGGAGCATCCTGTGTTATAATTATAATTATCACACCTTGGATCCTATCACATGCTTTCAGAAGAGCTCCTTTCCTTCCCACGGATTCAACCCTCCAGGTACAGGAAACCACGGGAGAAACTGAGGCATGGGGGTGGGAAGACAGTTAGATCACAAACTGCACATCCAGTCTGCTTTGGCCTTTCCATTCACAATATACTCTTCCTTCTAAAGTGCTACCAGATAAGATGTCTCTGAGTCCCTGGTTGGGACCCTAAATCACCCATTCCAACTTTAGCCATAGAAAGCACTGAAGGGAAGCAGACTGTTCTTGAGGGGATATTAAGGTAATGAATAGCCCCACAACTTCATGAATAGATAGCCTTAAAGTGGGGGCTATGTGTGCCACTGGCCTGAGAGGGAGAACAAGTCTGGCAGCTACCCAGGCCTTTGATTGAGGTAAGGATCTTTTCCTCCTCATCTAACCTCTATTGCAGGTTCTATCTATCCCCTCATCCCCTTAGTACTGTAAGCCTCACAAGGACCATACTCCTGGAGAACTTCTACTTAGGACTTTTCTACTCTCTTCTTCGATAAAGCCTGGAGAAGTCATATTTTCAGGTCAGGGGCTATAAGAAAATATTGGTGAGCCGGGCGTGGTGGCGCACACCTTTAGTCCCAGCACTCAGGAGGCAGAGGCAGATGAATCTCTGTGAGTTCAAAGCCAGCCTGGTCTACATAGTGAGTTCCAGGCCAGCTGGAGCTACAGAGAGACCCTGTCTCAAAAAGACTCCCCCTCCCAGCTGGGCATGGTGGTGCACGCCTTTAATCCCAGCACTTGTGAGGCAGAGGCAGGCAGATCTTTGTGAGTTCGAGGCCAGCCTGGTCTACATAGTTCCAGGACAGCTGGGGCTACAAGGAGACCTTGTCTTAAAAAAAAAAAGACCCCTCCAAAAATAAATTTTAAAAAATTAAAATAGAAAAAAAGAAAATACTGGTGATGGAAACATTTCAAGAACAATGCCTGTATTTGGAGTTCAGTTCTTTCTTCTACACTGAAGTCCCATTCCCTCATGCCTCTCTACCTACTTTCCTTCCACCCACATTCTGAGTTCTAAGAATGGGAACAATTTAAATCATGAGGCATCTTTAGCATGTGTATTTGTCTGTGTGGCATTACTGTGTGCGTGCCTGCAAGTATGCATTCATTCAACAAACATTGGGTGAAAATTATTTTGTGTCAGGATCAAGGGAGATGACAGAGACATATTACACATGATCCCTGTCCTCAAAGACCCCTCCATCAGGAGAGGACAGACACATAACTGTAACATACTATGTCCCCACCATCATGTGTCTCTCTGTGTGTCATTCATGTATGTGGGGCTGCCTCTGTCTATAACTGTGGATGTACCTGCATGTGGCCAAGCATTCACTTAAACCTATCTCTGTCCCCATGGCAGGCTGTACATCTAAGCCGAACCGGTTAGAGAGGGTTGTGCTGAAATTTTTGTTTGTGACAATGGGACTTGAGGTGAGTCAGGGAGGGACAAGGATGGGTGGAGTGGTGTGGGGGAGAACAGTGAGAGTGAGGGTCAGATTGAGTGAGCGGGGGAGGGAGGGAGTTGGGCCGAAGTGGGAAGAGATGGGGTGGCATCTCAGGAGGATGGGTCAGGGTAGGAATAGATAAGAAAGCTCCTTAGTGAATGATGTCCTATTTGCCCCTGGTGAGATTCCAGGTCAGAAAACAGACAGAAATTTGAGAGGAGACTCTTGGGCTTTGGAAGAGAGGAGGGTAAATAATCAGAGTTCAACTAGGCAGGAGCATGGGTGTAGATGAAATGCTTGTGATCCATTTCTGTATAGCTTTGTCTCTTGGTGTGATAAGCTATTCGTTTTTTGTTCATCACCTTGGTTCCTGCAGTTTGCACAGGAAGCTGCTGGGGACTCGACTGATGTGGTAGATTACTGATAATTGGACTGGATTCCATCCCCAGGACTAGGGTTACTGCACGTAACTTCACATTCCCGTCTACTGCTCCTCCTTAGGATGCTTTCCACCTGCGGCGATAGACCCCCATATAGAATACAGGGGCTCTAGAGGGGGTTCCTTCACTGAAAAATACCGTTTCTCCCCTTCAGCTTGGAACTTCACTGTGCACAGTATTGAGATGGTGGCATCTTGTGCTCTAAGATATTCCATCTAAATGTCCTTATGTGCTGTGTTCTTATCTTCCAATCATGCAGGCTCATTGGTTCCTCAATACCCAGCCCATCCTTTAATGACAACCGCATTTCCTGGTTGCCTAACAACATCCCTTTGAGCTCAGGGGGCTGGGTTTGCTTGTTCCTCAAGGGCTCTAAAGCTGGAGTGAGCCACCCAGGGAAAGAAAGAGAGGGCTGAACACAAGGCATATTTGGGTCCTATTTCTCAATGGCCCCAGATGTCTGCAGACCGCCCCCCCCCTTGCTGTCACTCAGCTTCTATAAACACACTACCACAACATCAGGGACTTAACATGTTAAGAGACAAAAGGCCATATTATTTTTCCCTGTGTTTATGGTTGGGCCAACACTTTGAGAAGGCTGTTGGAATAAGTCCTGGCAGGTATGGGATAAGAATTTCTCATGAAAATCAGTCTTTCGAGTGGTGACAATAGAAGAAGACATGGCAAGGTTGTGGAAGCAAGAGGCAAAAGTAAGGGGGGATCCTGGGAATTTAGTGAGAGGATGGATTCTAGGGAGGACCTGGGCTGTGTTTGCCTACATTCTCTTTGGCCTCACCACCAACCACAGAAAGAGCTAGGTTCCTCCCAGGACCCTGGGTTCAATTCCTAGTATTTAAAACAATTTTTTGCACACACCTTTAATCCCAGCACTTGGGAGACAGAGGCAGGCAGATCTCTGTGAGTTCAAGGCCAGCCTGGTCTATATAGTGATTCCAGGCCATCTAGGGCTAAAATCCTGACTCGAAAAGACCAAAAATAATTTTTTAAAATTATTTAAGTGTGTGTGTGTGTGTGTGTGTGCGCGCGCGCATGTGTATGTGTATTGTACACATGCCACAGTATGCCTGTGGGGGTCAGAGGACAGCTTTCTGGAGTTGGTTCTCTCCTTCTACCATGTGAGTCCCAGGAACTTAGGTCAGCAGACTGGCAGCAGTCACTTTACCTACTCACGAGTCCCTAAAAAAGGATCTTTTTTTTTTTGGTCTTTTTGAGACAGGGTCTTCCTGTCACACCATCTGGCCTGGAACTCACTATTTAGACCAGGCTGGCCTTGAAGCCACAGAGATCCCCCTGCCTCTGCCTCCTGAGTGCTGGGACTAAAGGCATGCACCACCACGCCCAACAAAAAAGAATCTATTAAAATTAATTTCATTAAATAATTAATAATTAAGTCATTAATAATTTAACAATTTAATTTTAATTAATTAATTAATTTCACTTTTATGTGTATGAATGTTTTGCCTGCCAGTATGTAAGTACACCTGTGTTATGCAATGCTCATGGAGGCCAGAAGAGGGCTTCAGATCCCTGGAACTGGAATTAGGGACCATGTGGGTGCTGGGATTGAACCTCTGTCCTCTGGAAGTGCTCTTAACCACTGAGCCATCTCTTCAGCCAATAAAGAATAATTTTTAAAAACAAAAGACAGAGTCCTCAGGAAACCCCAAATGGCAGATAACACTGGTATAGTGGGAGGGCCTGGAGTACTTAGGGGCCAAGGCTTGGG